CCCTTGGTACCAATTGAGCATCGTTGCAACGCCACAGCCTACCTGAGTATTGTTGCTGACCATGTCCATCCCTTTATGACCACAATGTACCCAACTTCTGATGGCTACTTTCAGCAGGATAATGCGCCATGTCATAAAGCTGGAATCATCTCAGACTGGTTTCTTGAACATGACAATGAGTTCGCTGTACTCAAATGGCCTCCACAGTCACCAGATCTCAATCCAATAGAGCATCTTTGGGATGTGGTGGAACGGGAGAGTCGCATCATGGATGTGCAGCCGACAAATCTGCGGCAACTGTGTGATGCCATCATGTCAATATGGACCAAGCTCTCTGAGGAATGCTTCCAGCACCTTGTTGAATCTATGCCACGAAGAATTGAGGCAGTTCTGAGGGCAAAAGGGGGTCCAACCCGTTACTAGCATGGTGTACCTAATAAAGTGGCCGGTGAGTGTATATTGCTCCAAAACCAGTATGTACCTTTCAGTATTAATGTTGCCTTCACAGATGTGTAAGTTACCCATACCTCGGGCACTAATGCACCCCCATACCATCACAGATGCTGGTTTTTGAACTTTGCGTGGATAACAGTCCGGATGGTTCTTTTCCTCTTTGGCCCGGAGGACACGACATCCACTATTTCCAAAAACAGTTTGAAATGTGGACTCGTCAGACCACACAACACTTTTCCACTTTGCATCAGTCCATCTTAGATGAGCCGAGGCCCAGAGAAGCCGGTGGCGTTTCTGGATGTTGTTGATAAATGGCTTTCGCTTTGCTTTGTAGAGTTTTAACTTGCACTTACAGATGTAGTGATGAACTGTATTAACTGACAGTGGTTTTCTGAAGTGTTCCTGAGCCCATGTGGTGATATCCTTTACACACTGATGTCAGTTTTTGATACAGTGCTGCCTGAGGGATCGAAGGTCACGAGCATTCAATGTTGGTTTCTGGCCGTGCCGCTTACGTGCAGTGATTTCTCCAGATTCTCTGAACCTTTTGATGATATTATGGACCGTAGAGGTTGAAATCCCTAAATTCCTTGCAACTGTACTTTGAGAAATGTTGTTCTTAAACTGTTCGACTATTTGCTCACGTAGTTGTTCACAAAGTGGTGAACCTCGCCCCATCCTTGCTTGTGAATGACTGAGAATTTTTGGGGAAGCTGCTTTTATACCCAATCATGGCACCCACCTGTTCCTAATTAGCCTGCTCACCTGTGGGCTGTTCCAAATAGGTGTTTGATGAGCAGTCCTCAAATTTCTCAGTAGTTTTTGCCACCTTTCCCAACTACTTTGTCACGTGTTGCTGCCATCAAATTCTAAAGTTAATGATCATTTGCAAAAAAAAACAAAGTTTATCAGTCTGAACATTAAACATGTTGTCTTTGTAGTGTATTTAATTGAATATGGATTGAAAAGGATTTGCAAACCATTGTATTCTGTTTTTATTTACGATTTACACATCTTCCCAACTTCATTGGAATTAGGTTTTGTAGTTGGTTTCATATAAATAAGTTGTGTTACTGTCAGAGAAATGAAGTAAATGATGAGTTATTAGCAAGGTATCACTTCATAATTATCTAGTAAAACTGCAAAGTCAAAGTCACAAGATCCTGAATCTGAGCAAATTTCATTTTAAATGTTAGATTTTGACTGATCTTGATCCTGGAGATTTAGATAATTCATCTTGTTGTTTCTGTTCTGCTCCTCTCATTATCAGAGGACTGAAACAACAGAGGCAAAGTGAGAGGAAGACGGGGGGCTTCTTTATCATTGACTACACCTATGCTCTGCATACACAGTTTGACACAACAACCCCTCTCTAAAACGGGGAAACTTGGAACAAATTGCCTGTGTTACCATGGTTATCACAGGTAATTCCAGGTTATTAATGCCTAATGTGCCAATCACATTGTGGTATGTCACCCCTTCATTATCCTACCCAGAGTATTTTCTTTCTTTTTCTGTCTACTTCTTATTGTTGAATCTTCACTCACATACTCTAAATCACTTTCTCTTTCTTTCTTTCTTTCTTTCTTTGTTTCTTTCTTTCTTTCTTTCGTTTTCTCTAAAAACAAACAAACTGTGATTTGAGCCACTCTGTTTGAAATTGTAGCTGAGGTAGATGGAGTGATGTCAATGAGAGCCGCTACAAAATAAATCCATTGTTTATTTCGAAAGTTTAGGAAACACCAGCATGTCTTGCAGTGCTCATAAAGTCAATTTAAGTTAAGAAACATCACCAGATACTTTTCAGTGTCCATTATCATTTCCAGATTTTTTTTCTTGTGTGCAACTAAAGACATGGAGGGTAGTTTTTTTGTATTTAATGATATTTTCTACTTAATAAATGCACCAATAAATTTAGCACTTTTTTTCTGCACTTTCTAAACTAGAAAGCAATATACCACAAGTCATTAGCTTATTTTAACATTAGCCAACTCCAACAAATGCTATCAGTCTGAGTTAGAACCACACTGGAAAACTAATAAACAAAAGAATTGCATGACTTTTGAACCTGCTAAACCTGTGCAAATGAGCTCAAGATATTGCTTAAGTAACAAAGCATGTGCAAAGGTTTAATTACACCACAAACTGTACTACAGAGCTAATAGCATCACTGTGAACATATGGGCTATTCATTTACAAACAAACCTCAATTTGGAGCAAAACAGGCATTTGAATATAACTAAAAAAAAATGATTTTCTCTTATGTAGCCTTAATGTTCCCTTTCTATCATTTTTGTTGATTTTATAGCAATGGTTTTCAGTATGTACTCTTTTGACAAGTGCTATTATGAAATAAACATATCACTGTGGTGAAAATAATCTTAAATAAGACCACATACTTGTTTGGGTTCTTTTTTTTTGATTGGGCATTGGCTAGATCGAGCCACAGGACTGCTAGATCACCTATACCCTCTCTTGCCTCACGGATGAGCTGGGTGATAACCCTGGTGTGCTCTAGACACCCTGGTACCCTTGGCACTCCCCCTTTCTGTACAGCGATGTCAATGTACCGGTTCCCAAATAGGAACTCTGTCAGGCGACAGGCAACAATACTGAAAAATAGCTTGCCCTCCACACTGAGGAGTGAGATGACTCTGAACTGCTCGATGGTACTTACGTTCTCCTCCTTAGGAATCCAGACACCCTCTGGGAAACATTTTTTTCCAAGGTGATGAATAAAATGTGCTGCAGGATCATTTTCTGCTGGATTCATGAGTGATAGGACATGGTAATACTGCTGTTACCTCCGACTTCAAGTTTAGTTTACTTTATTCTCTTATTTCAGTAACATTTAGATTTCACTCTCAAAATTGTATTTTTTTTTCTCCAATGGAGCCCTGATACTCTGTTGTTGTACACACTCAAACTAGGCTTGCTGCGCTACAATCACCTCACCTGCCACTTTTCACTCCTGTTACAGCTTTAGGACACCTTAGTTTGACCTTCACTGTCAGCCTATTTTTCATGAGCAGCCAAAGAGTTAAAAACTTGTGACATTATTAAAATGGACATCTACTGAGGCATTTGCCACACTTAGAGAGTTTGATCACAGTGCTGTTGGTTTCTTTTTTGCATGATTCTCCTCATGCTTTTGTTGAAGTTATTGAACTGGTCTTGAACAATCAACGTATCCGGTTCTTCAATTAAAGTTCATGTTTCAGTTTTTTACAGACAACATGGTGATTCATGACCAGTGTGCTGTCATAAGAGTTTTTGAAGAATTGGGTAAGAGACGTTTTCTTTTTCTTCTTCTTCTTTTGTTGAAGCAGCTCTTTGTTTGTGATCAGTGTCGAGTCAGGAAGTGGTGTGATGCTCATGCAGAGTAGTGAAGAGTCTCAGGAAGGAAGTTGAGGTGGATTATTATGCTTACTAATCTAACCAAAACCAATAAGAAACAATGCTTATGTTCAGAAGAGCCAGAATTGTTGTAAGTTTAAAATTTTACATTGGATATAAAGAATAATCATAGAGATGTGCACTTTCAACCACGCCAGAGGAAATCACAATGAGTGGAAAGACAGTCTTTTTATGTTATTGTTAATTTATTGTTTATTTTTTCAGGTTTTGTCTGCAGAAATATTCAAAAAAAGCTAATTATTATTACTATTTATTGTTGCTGGCCCATGGACTGTATAAAGAATGGACCCAGTCTGTCTCCTCGCTGGGTGAAGCCACTGCAAGAACAGCACCCTTTGGTGACAGGCTGCAGTATAGGTCATAAATCCCACCTCTTCCAGCAATCCCTATGGAGCTGTGGACAAACTTTAGAAATGAATTACACAGAATTTACATTTTTTTCCCCCTTGTTGTGATGTTGACATGTAGTTACTGTAAGACTGGTTTGTGCTCAAGTCCTCTGTTTTTCTGTGCTGCTCCATTTTAAAATTCATTGGGGGGGTTCATGTTTTCTATGATTGACACTTGATACAGCCTATTGGCGTAGATTGCGTAGCTCACCCAGAGGATACGCTGTTTGTGCAGAACGTCATCACAGCGACTCTCTGGTGGAATGCGTACAATGCTACCGCACAAGTGGTGGTTCCAGGAAGTGGAGAAAATCCCGGAAATACTGAGAGCAATTCAGCTTCAAATTTGTATAATGACGGAAGGTGGAGCCAAGTTGTTCATAGTATATACAGTCTATGGGCTGGCCAATAAACCGACCTTACCTAAAAGATAAAGTACTGCTTGTCCATATTTTCTATTACCTGCACTACCTTACACCACAAGTACAACATGCAACTCAGCCAAAACCATAACCCTCTGAAACACACACTGACTGAGCAGTGTTCAGTGGAGGAGGCAAGTTCATAGTGTGGGCTACATCAAAAAAAAAGAAAAAAATTGTTGACGTCCGGGTGACTGAGCTGCATGGCGGTGTAGGAGCACAGCTCTCGCCTCTACAAACTTCTTCAAATGCATTTTACGGTGCTTTATTGAATCATCTAACATGCAACTCATTGTCAGCTAAAAGAAACAAAGACAATATGGAGCCATCTACTCCATCGCCCACGTCTTATCAAGATGACAAGAAGCTGAAAACAGCCTCCGACGGTGCTCTCCAAACGATTTACACAGCTGATTCAGCGGCCGCGGATGGTACTTCAGTTTCATCTGTGGTTCTCAGAATCTCCTCAGCAGTCACAGAGATCAAGGAATCTCTGGACAATTTACGCAAGGAGGTCAGTAACACCAGCGCAACAGTCACTGTGATGCAAGCAGATTTGGTGTGCATGAAATCTAAGACCTCCCAGATTGAAAAGGAGTTCATCACGCTGAACAAGTCTATCACAACCTTATCAAGCTGCACTGATTTAATCCAGGCTGATGTGCGCAAACAAAGAGACATAATTGGATCCAACATTGAAAAAATAAAAAATCTCACTGACCGCCTGGCTGAAATGGAAGATTCCACCCATCGATCTAATTTGAGAATAATCTCTTTACCTGGGGGAGCGGAGGGGGGCGATGCCATCACATTTCTTCAGCGTCATCTACCAGTTTGGCCACCCAGTCTCTCATCACGTGGGAAGATTGAGATCAAAAGAGCACATCGGATTTATAGTGCTGCAAAATCAGACGGCAAGAACTTAAACAGGACACTGATCTTCAAACTTCTGGGCTACTCCGATAGGAAGGCCATCATGGACACTTACAGAGCTGCTGGATCTTCTCCCTCACATAAGGGCCACAGGCTTCTCTTATTTGCCGACTACTGTCCTTCCACATCAAAGTTAAGGAAAGCTTTCACCCAAGTGATGTCCAGTTTGCGTAAGAAAGGTATCCAGCATTTCCTCATCTATCCAGCAAAGCTGAGGGTGTCAGTTCTTGTTGAAAACTCCGGAAGATGCTGTGTCTTTGCTGATGGGTGGTGCGTCACCCAAATCATGTCCCTTCTTGATCCGAGTGTTTGGTTATGTGATTCTAATTTTTGATTATTATTATTTTTACTTTTATCATTATTATTTTCTTTCTTCTCTCACACTTGCATTGTGCTATGTCACACTGACTTGCAAAATGAAATAAATAATTGTTAAAAAATAATTGTAGAAAAAAAAGAAACGACAAAAAGCGCCACAGAGATGTTAAAAGCCATTTTGTCTCCACTTCTAGCAGCCTGGATGGAGACCAATCAGAAAGAGGCAGAATAGCCAATCAGAAACAGTAGCCTTGGAAATGGCCAATTAGGCCTGTTTGTCTGCAAGGACAAAGGAAGTGATATTGCAGAGTGATTGCACCAGCGCTGGGCTACACAAACATGCTCAAATGACACCTTTGCTTGTTGCCTTCCAACCCTAATTTTCCAGGAGTGTGAGATCTTGATTGCATCGGCGCTGGCATGAGAGGACGTCTCATTATTACACCAAAACAATCGCCACCTTAGAGGCAAAAAACACAGGTTCTGTTTTCATCAGGGAGCTATTGAGTCACCAGCTCTCCAGTCAAGGCCGCAACACATGTGCTCACACACACACACACACACACACACACACACACACACACACACACACACACACACACACACACACACACACACACACACACACAAGGCTGCAGACTGGCAATTTTATTCAAAAGATTTGTACCTTACTCCAGTCCACTTAATGAAGCTGTAAATTTAGAGACACAAGAGCCTTTACAGTGCTCCTCTGAGAGCTGCTACAATGATCCTGGGACTGAGCTGGTTAATTAACTGATTATTTGCTTGGCTGGGAGCCACCGAGAAATGGGGGAGATATGGAGGGAGACAAGAAGGGGATGAAAGAGAGGACACAAGGGTAGAGGACAGAGAAGGGATCAGGGTGCTACGCAAGGGGGCAAAACATGAAAATGGAAAGAGCTTGAGAAGAAGAAAATGAGAGGATGTGATGGAAGCAGTATCAACTTATGCTCCTATAATTTCCAAAGATGGAGCAGAGTTTGAGGAATGAACATGTGTCCTGCATGTACTTAAAATAAAGTGATTCAGACCGCTGTTTCAATCAATAGTATGCATTAACTAAATAGATAATAGACAAAGTGCCTTCAGCTCTGCCCATTCGAGGATGTAAAGTCAAAAATCGTCTCACTCCTTGGTGCACATGAGGCATGCTCAGCAGTCATCTGGCTGGTGGAGCTGCAGGACTGACGTCACATCCTCCCTGCTCACGATAGCTACATTTATCATCAACAGCATAAAACATGACAGATCCCCATAGATGTGCAGAGTAAATCAAAACTGCTACTCCTCCAATCAGTTAACAAAGATGAATACTAATGAGTAGACTTCCTGATTGGGTCAGAGTATCAGGTACAGCATTAGACTAATTTATATCATAACTTTAAGGAATAACTTTCACAGTCCACATAAGACCCGTCTCCTCTGAATCCTCTCCATTGGCTTATGGTGTACCATAAGATCTATCCTGAAGACTTTGCTTTTTATCCTTCATCTGCTGCCCCCAGGATTGGTCATAAACCGTTCATTTTATATAATTGATACACAGATGACGTACAACTGTAATTCATATTTGAGTCCTGAAAGGTCTCTAAGTAATCCAGACTTCTACCTAGAACTGGATAAAAACAATTCATCTATAACTTCATGCAGAGGATACAGAGATTTTAGTCAATGCACATTTTAAGATTGTTCCTACTCTTACGATATATTGGGTAGCTTTCCCTTTCTACAATTCTGGATGCAAGTGTGGAATGTACCAAATCTGCTGGATGTGTTGTCTGTGCAGCCAAACCCCCTGCCCATGACAAATTTCTACCAATGGAGACCAATAAAAACACTTTGATTTGACTTTGCTGTCCACTGCATTCTGCACAATCTAGGAGTCATATTTGGTTAAACTGTATCTTCTGACACTTATGTAAAGTCAATAGAACACTCATGTTCTATTTCCAAGGAATATTTGTAAACTGAGATGCCTTGTCTAAATTTTTGAACATCCTTTGCTGTGGCTCATTAAGCGATAGCATGTGTCTTTCTGTTTTTTTTATTTTTTTATTTCAATTTCATTTGTTTTTCATGTAAAGCCCTTTGAGACTTATTTTGGTGAAAAGGGTTATATAAAAAGATGTAACTTACTTTAATGACAGTTTATATGTTAATTCTGTTAAAAATGAACAGAAGTTAAACTCAGCGTTAATGTCACAACCTGTTGATAACCCACCTGTCTGCCCTCTTTCAACATAAACTCCATGATCCAAGTTGAGTAAAAGTTCATCCAGACTAAAAGTAACCATAATCACCCCTGGGTAACTTCGAATCAGCATTAACTTTGTGATCATTTTCTGATGACTCGATAGAGATGATGCTCAGCAAAGGTCAGCAAACTGAAAATTAAATGATAAATTCTCTAAAAAATGATGATGAGACAAAATAGTCTGCTCTGTTTGAACAGACGATCTGTTACATTGCTGTTTGCTTTCCTTAACCAATCATTTATCTGTAAATGGACCCTAGTACTCTGTTGATTTTTTCCTGTAACTTTATAACTTTATTTTTAAAAGTATGACTTTGGCTTTTCTTTAATCCCTTGATGTAGCTCTTATCCTCTATCTCAGGAAGTCTTTTAGTCATGTTTGGCTTAAAAGATACCAGCTCTTATTTTGGATTTTCTCTCAATTTGTCATATGTTCTGTTAATTTATTTTTTTACTGGTTTTGTTATTCAAATGTATTTTCTTTGTGATTTACCCTATTGTTTCTGTTCCCTATTGTTCCTGTTCCCTGTTGTTGAGTCTTCAGTTTTCAGTTTGTGTTTGACCCTGTTTCCCCCGTTCTCGTTGTTGTTTTTTTTTCTTTTGATTAGTTTTCTGTGATTCCTGTTTTATTTTGTAATAGTTGATTCCTTGTGTTTCTAGTCTGTTTTTGCTTCCCTAGTTTTCCCTCCTTCGTTAATCACCCATGAGTTTCACCTGTGTCTTGTTTGCCTCACCTGTTGCTTGTTTCCCACTGTGTATATAGTAGTCCCTGGCTGTGTCTGAAATGGATCCCTAACCCCTATATACGTGACTGTATGGGGGTTAGCACCATTTTGAGGGGTGTCGGAAACCTGAGTGATCAATTCCAGTGCCCCATATATGCGACTAAAAATTTGCCATAAGGCATTGCAAAATGTAGTGACCATCCAATGGTCACTCACCGGTGGTGGGCATCCCGTCATGCATTGCGTCTTGCCATGTAGTGCCTGAAACCTCTGGTGATTGAGCTCACTACATAGTCAACTATATAGTGAAACCCAATATGGGGGTTAGGGGTTAGGGATTGAGTGATTCATTTCGGACACAGCCCCTGTCTTCCCCTCTGACCTTGTTGGTTCATTGTATGTCGATGCGTATGCTTGTGTCCCCAGTTGTTCCTTGGGATTTTTTTCCTAGAGTCTTTAGTTTGATTTTGCTTTTTGGATTTTTTTTGGTGGGACAAATTAAATTAAGTTTTTGTTGCTTTTCAATTAGTTATTTTTAAATAAATCATTTTTTGTCTGCATTTTGGGTCCTTTCCCTTTGTTTTGTTTTAACTCTGGCTCATGTCACAAAAAAATTCTAGTTTTGTTTGACCTGTAAATCCTACAAATGCAGCTCTTAACAGACCTCGAACTCTTTCTGCTGCATCATCTAACTTGTGCTGTTTCACTCATAGTTACTGTCACCAGTAGAGGTCGACACCTCGCCGTACAGGTACAAGGATGGCCATGAGTCGCTGTAAGCGTTTCTGTAACTACAGATTATATTGATATAATTGGAGATATGGGACAAACTTTCTTTGATAATTTCTGTACTGTTTTTATGGTTCACAACCTGATTGGTCAACAGTGTTTCAATCCTGTTTAGATTGCTTTTCATGAGGTGCAGAGGTGAACTTGATGAAATTTGTGGATATTTCTCAGAAGAATATAACAGAATACGTCCTTCACTGACAGTCCCTACAGAGCTGGATTCTCTGACTCTCTCTAAACTGCAGCACCAATCGAAGCTTTTTACTTATTCATTTTAAAGAAGCAAAGTGAACATATCCTGTCCTCATTATTAATTATTAATTAATAATTAAACTATTATTGTTAAATTTAATTATTATTAAACATTATTCATAGTAATTCATTATTAAAAGTGTCTTTTCATACAAATAAACACCAGGAATGTGAGACAGAAACACATGTTCATATTTGTATCATAGTCTTAGTTTATTACACACATGAGCTGTAGTTTTTACGTCTCCATTGTAACTGTTTGAGGTGTCAAAGGTCAGTCAGCAGTTAGAGCTTCTTGCTGGTTCTCTTCAGCACAACAGCGCCGGCTTTGGAGGTCTACAGAGAAGGAAAAGACAAGAAGTGTTATTTCACTTAGTTTATATATCATCACATTTTATATTTGGCTGTTTATAACTACAGGATGAGAGGTGGTTGCTGCAGTAGTTTCTAAAACAGATGCACTTGAAATAATTTTATACATTTTAACGTGACTTGTGCCTCTAGTGTGACAGTTTTTAGACATAATGAAATGTTTTCCTTTGCAGTTTTCTCATTTCAAATGTGACAAAACTGCTAATCAAATATACTATTTCAGTCCCTTTCAGTTATAAATCGTATATATTCTCCTCAAAGCCACTGTAGGGAGTTATAAGCGGTGCTGTGTAAAATCTATGATAGAGATTGACACCTTTGCAGAAATAATATTTTATAGTTATAGTGAGGATACCTCTAGTCTTTTGTCCTGTACAAGTAAAATGTGTTTTCGGACAAAAACCTCATCCTGTTGTCCTTTTACAGAGAAATATTTTACTCACTCCCCGTATTTGTCATGTCATCTAACCTGACACCTACCCCTTAACATCAGATTCAGGCTTAAAAAATTATAACAGTAAAATATCAGCCTTGTTGTCAATGATTTTATTTGCTTCTGAAGCTCATAAAGAGGCATCAGCCAGTCTCACATCCAGTCAAAAACTCCTTATATTGCCTTTAAATGACTTAAATAACTCTCTCACTGTGCTGAGAACATTAACTACAGAGTCTGTAAGCAAATTTACCTCAACAAGTTTTCCTCCACAGATCTCAGAGGTGTGGTGGTAGTTGGGGAAGGCCACGCTCAGCTTGCCTCCCTCCATGTGCACGGTGGCCTGAAAACACACAAGGATTTCCAGTTTTCTTCCACTCTGAGATCAAACAAGCCTGAAGATAAAGTTTGGCTGTTTTGCTTCCTACCTTGAACTTCTTTCCTCCGATGGTCTCCATGTCACACTCCTTGCCAATGGTGAACTTGTTGGTGACTTTGGCATTTGTGGGGTAGATCTGAGTCCAGGAGAAGGTGTCCCCATCCTGGGTAACCTCTGTGACCAGTTTGTAGTCACGGCCCTTCTCAATAATGTCATCAGGGATACCTGCAGGGAGGAAAGAGAAGGCATGTTATAAAGGGCCTATATATATTTCCAAACTCATAAACTGTGAAATGCTTTTTTTCTCCCCCCTCACCGAGCAGCTTGCAGAACTCATCGTATCCCTCCTGGGTCTCAGTTTCCCATTTTCCAGCGAAGGCCATTTTGGTCGGAGTAGTTGGGTGGAGTTGTGTGAATGGAGATGCCGAGGCAAGCTGAGGGAAGAGCAAGGTACCGAGACAGCTCTGCTTCCTGTTTTTATACTTACAATCCAGCTCAGGCCACCTCCCTCATCTGCGTGTGATGACACAAGAGAGCAATTACAGCTACAGATGATGACTCCAACGGGTGAACAGGCAGAGGGCAAAAACCTGAATGAAAGATCATTTATGGGGCTCCTGAGCAGTGAGTAAAATGCTGACGGCTCATCAGGGCAAGCTGGTTCTTGACCTCCAGGTCAATGAACTCTTCTGCAGCACCTTTATGGGCACACACGTCACTTTTACTGCTGCAGAGTCTGAAATCAAATAAAAAGCTTTGTTTGAAAATACAATCCACCCGTTTAAAGTGGATTGTTATCTCACTTTGTGAATGGTATGATCTGTAAAAAGATAATCATGAACTCACTCAAGGTCTTTATCCAACTGCAATGAAAAATGAAAACTCAAACCATGATGAAATCCTTTCAGTCTTTTATGACACAGGTAACTTTAGTAGGATTTAGTGATTTAGGAAACTAAAAATGAAAATTAATTTTAATATCACAAGAGACCTATGAGGGAGGATAAAATAAGTAGACTTCAGACCTTTAGTGTCAGTAAACCAGACATATTCACTGGTTTATGTCTGCAGAGCCCATATATGTAGAGCTCTAGTATTAGTACTAAGCAATACTACTGGTAATACAACTGGTAATTTGGGATTTCATACTTATACCCAGTTTTATAATCTGTGTTTCTATGTCTAGTATCTGATTATGCCTTTGGTGTTTGGGAGTCTGTACGTCACAAAGCTATCAGGAGTCTCATTTTTAAACATTACAAACATAATGTTACAGGGCTGACCCAGCTGCAGATACAGTGGATTTCTGAATTTGCAAGTACTGTTGAAAGTTGGACTTTGGGTTGTTTAAGAGGAATTGAGGAATTGAGCAATCTCATTAGCAAATGTTACTCTTCCTCATGTCTTTTTCACAAACAAAAATCTTTTCATTGTCAATTACTAAAACTTCAACAGAGGTAAACTACCGACTGATGATGCACCAATGGAGGTCGAACTGCGTAGTTGCAGAGCTACATGACTCAAATACACAGCTTGATTCTTAACTATCTGTTGATTTTGGCTGTAGATGCCTGTGTTAAAAAAAAAAAAAAAAAAAAAAAAGCACAACTTTAAGCAACTTAAGCTGGTGAGATTCCCTTTTATTCCAACTACAGCTGAGACCCAGTGGAGGTCCAACTAAGCACTGTGCATGCACAAACAAATTACCGCTGTGTCTGAAACTCTTGCGCAAAATTTTGCCTGAGAGTAGCAAAACAGACTTAGTAATCTACAAAAACAAACTTCAGAGAAACATTTACACAAACTTAATCTTTAAACGTATTTTTATTCATTTATAGGGTGCATATTCACTGCGGGGGAATTTTTTTTTCTAAATTAACAAGTTAATTATCTCAGAATTATGTGCTAACTTATTTGTAAATATGACATTTTATCTCGTTTTTCTTAATTTATGAGAGAATTATCTTGATTTAGAAAAACATATTTTTTGTCTGCTTTGTTGTTTTTTTCCATCATTCTCTCTGCAGCTGCCCTAGATCACTGTAACAACCACTGAACTTGCTGCTCATTTGTAGTCACTTTCACTCATGGTGACTAAGGTGCTTTGAGCATATATGGGCAGAATATGTTTGCACACTCCCAGGCACTTTGGGATTTATAATGCTTGAAACTTGGTCTTATAAAACAGAATAATTTTTGGCATATTCACACTTTTAGCGTGGATTCTACACACTGTTTTATACATAAATGATGCCTGAGGTCGTTTTCGAAGGTTCATAAATGTACATCTGTCCAGACTATAGATGAAGACAAGGGTCGGGAGTCTCCAAATACCAGACACAAATTTGAAGTGTGTCAGCTTTGGAATAAGATGTCTGATCAGACAAAGTAAAAACAAGATTAGTTTGGGACAAGATTTCTTCCTTCTGTCAAAGAAAAAGGGCCTGTTGAACTATGGCGTAAACTAAAACTATTAAACAAAGAAAATTATGTCAGTACAGTTTACTCTATGACTAGTTATGTTGAGGGTCATTGCTGTTAGCTTTGGAGACTGGTGGGTTTATTGCCTCTCAGAAGAGATTTGTCTAAAGATGTAAGAACATTAACAGGCACTAAATTCTGCAGTTTCAAGGAATTCTGTAAGCTTTTCCAACCTGTTTCCAAAGTTTCGGTTTTGACTTCGGAAACAGGAAACTGCACAATGGCCTATACACAAAGCCACTAACTCCTGTCCTTCAAAGCTGAACCGATTTTCCAGAATGGCCAGTCCAGTATGGTCTTCTTATCAATGAAGCGGCACTAGTTATCAAGCTGGTGTACATGGATATGGCCTTCTGGTGTCTTAAGAGCCATCTTAGAACCCATGATGGTGGTCAGTATGATGGAAATGCTGACTCATTTTCAGTTAACCTAGAAATTGGCAAAGAAGTGGAGTTAAACTGAAACTACAGTGTGCATGCTGCTACAATCTTTACTCATATACTGTACCTCATTTGTAAACTACCACTTTAAGCGTCCTCATTAATTTTTTTACAAGTGAAAATTAAAAGTGCTTTATGATCTTTGCGTGTATCTTACATGCAGAAAATGTAAGTGCTGCAGCTTCCCTTATAAAGTCCGTATATGGTCTTATGAGCGTACAACTGGACCATATCAACTTCACATTATGTTGTGCTTTGAACTTTGACCCTGTAGTTTTACACCTCAAAGTCCATGGTGCACAATTTTGACATTGTTGAACAAACTGGTTGCCCTGGAGATGAAAAAAAAAAGAAAAAAAAAAAAAAGATTTAGCTCCCCATGCAGAGACACTGATGGTGGATTAGTCAATGCTGCTCACTGTAAGTCAGAATGCAAAAAGCATGCATTTGCCAATGTAGTTAGACATTCTGCATTTTAAATTAATAATACTGGGACACTGTTGATGTCCTGACACACTGAGTAGTGTAAAATATGAGTTTTCAATGCAGCAGCCATTAAATAAAGAAGCTGAATGTATAAACGCTCTAGTTTTTCCACTGAAGATACAACCCCAGACAGGAGAAATTAGTGTATACATGTCACATTTTTTATATGTTCAACTTAATTTGAGACAAAAAAAAATAACATTTGGTTGTGGTGATTTTGTTCTCCTCAGTTATTTGTCAGCATCCTGGTGGTACACTCTTTGCAGCAAAATGGATAAAAACAACAGAATTGAGTCCAAACAAGCACTTCTTTAATAACCCTTACTGTAAAGCCCAGTCCAGAGCCACACTGTAAACAGAATTACAGAATAATGCTGCTTGTACACATCCCTGGCTGAAAATTGTCCATTAAGGTGACTACATGACTGAAGCACCTCAGGCTTTCAGTCCTGACAAAGTGTGAATAGGTAAAAGCTTTTGATGCTGCACTTAACTTTGATCTCACACAATACAGCCATTTTCACCGACGAGCACTGATCGTGTTTCTGAACCATGAAAAGTCAGCCCGGCCTTGGAGCTCTTTATAGAAACATAAAACATCATATTGGCCAACATCCTATAAAAGACACCCACTATCTCTTTTTACTGTCTCTCTCTCTCGCTCTCTCTCTCTTGCGCACACACACACACTAACAGTAGGACACACACTCACACAGGAGGTCAGTGTGCTGAAGTGCACAAATGCAGTTTAAAAAAGCCACTTCTCATCACATTTAACACACCGGTTTCCCCTCACTGCAGCTCCTCTGTACGTGTTACATCAGCTGACTCTTCACCAGTGTGATGTGCTCCAGGCTGGCCTTTGACTCTTATGACCTGAGAGAATATAGATGTTTGATGATTCAACATCTATCACCTGTGTAATGGAGCTTCTTTATGGTCTGTAATGCAGATTTCCTCTTAAACATCGCCCTCAGTTACATTACCCTTTAGTAGGTGAGTTGGTGTGTTGATGAGGACAGCATGACAGATTAGACAAACTTGTAACACACATTTGTGTGTTCAGAGAGGAGGACATTGAAGACGATTCTTCTATATGTTATTATTTGTATTATCTTCTGAATCACCTGATACTGTTAAATACTTGATTCCGATTGGTTGAAACCCCCTTGACAACAGTAACAAATTTTGGATGGCAAAAGCATCACTTGAACCCCCACTCCAATGAAAATCATGTTTTTTTTGTTGTCTCCATGTTCATATGGCATTTTTCTGATGCTGTAGGACACATCATAAAAAAATAAGTGGGAAATTGCATTCCGGGTATTTCTTCATTCAAATCCCTGTGGATCTCTGGCAGACCCAAACTGCAGGCTCAGAAACAGTGAGATTTCCTACGTAGCAAATCGGAGCTCTGCCCCCAGAGCCCTGCTTTGCAGGCGAAACTCAGTCGATCGTAGAGCAAGAGTGTACATTGGTGGATTGCAATGCTCATAAGAAAGCTCATTGTGATATTAACTTTCATCATGTCCCTAAAGACATCAGTGTACGAGAGCTGATTAGCTTCTGTGTTACCTGCTTCTTCTCCTACACCGGTAACGTTAGGCTGCAAGCTAACGTGAAGAGGAGGTTGCAGTGCAGTGCTGTCACCGCCCACTACTTAGAGGAGAATTGTTAATGAGCTACTGGAGCTCTGCAGAAGTAAAGTCCTTGAAAAAAACACAGGTAAAATGATTTTGGCTAAAAACTTCATAATCACAATTTAAAGACCACTGAGAACACTTAAGTTAGGCTAGAAAAGAAGGATATTTTAATATCGGATCCTGTCCTGATCGGCTCATTGTGTATTACAAATGTTTTTTTATTGGTCAAAACAGCTGCAGCCATAGCTACATCAACTGACATTGATAAAGACAAACCGGGTTTGCAATCATAGTACACAGTTTTAGTATTACAGTTGGTTAACGGTGGGGAAGGGTTTGTCCGTTATCGTGAATTACTAGTGTTTTATAGACATCTGTCAAAGTGCT